GCTAAAGGCTATTATGTTTATTAGCAGTGGAGACAAGGGTCTGCTTTGCTGAAGAGTTTTATAACGTACAAAGAACTGTGTCTGTGGTCTACTTCTGAGAAAAGCAAACGCCAGGCAACAGGATATGAGTGAATAAAATAGAAAATCGGGTGTAGAGCACGTCCCAGCTCTTCTGATGCCCTCTGTGGGGGTCATCACCAAGAAAAACCATCATGGTCTTTTGATGGTCTGGGTTTCTTTGCTTTCTTGTAGTGGAGTGCTTTCATTAAGGTGCTTTAGAAAATGCCAGAGTTTTCTCAGTCACAAAACGTAGGGAGGGAAATACAACTTGGACATTTTTTAAAGATCTGACCTATGCAGATGGTGTGTGTGGGGGGATACTTTTTAGGGTGTTTTGGTTGCACGAAGCAGAAAAATAAACTCAAACAGATGTACTCAACAAAGAAAATGTATTGATTTACATAACTATAAATCCAGTGTTACTGTGTACTTCAGGCTAGGTTTGATCCAGTGGCTCAACGATGGAACCAAGGCGTCAGTTTCTTTCTGTTGTTCTGCTTTGCCTTCCAAGGCTTAACGTCATTATAAAGTCCCCTCATGGTTTAAGATGACTGCTGGCAGCAACTCAAGCTAATGTCTTCTTGTTTACATCCCAGAGAGAGAGAAAATCTCTTCACTATCACACTGAAGTCCTTTGCCTGACTATGATCAACTTAGGCATGAATACATCCATGAATCACTGTTGTTGCCACGTGAATCAGAAGAGATTGACTCCAGCAGCTCCAGGAGCGGCTCCAGATTGGCTTCATCAATCAGCATAATTCCATCTCCCTTCCCATAGTGACTGGTTCAGGATTGGACATGCAGCTGGTACCTAAGCCAAGCTGGAGATGGGTATCCTTGGCAACAGTGGTTGTTTTGTGATGGATGAGGACAGGTCCAGTGGATGCTGGACATGATGCTACACCTTCCACTTCAGGAGGCAAGATCAAAATACAGTCATCCAGTCAGTGCTATTAATTTTTTGGTCATCAAGAGAAATGTTTATATGTGAGAAAGTTGGTTACGTTCTTTTAAACCAATTGAATCCTATTTGCATGCTGATGCTTCCCCTACTTATGAAAATAGATTCGAATTTCTTCCCTCATGTTCCGTATAACATCAAAGCAGGTAATGTAAGCTGGTAGAGTCACTGTTACTGATCAAAAAATTTCAGGAGGAGCTCTAGATTTGGGGATGTGTCTTGTTTTTCCTCTAAATTTTTCTTGCTAAATTTCTCTTTCTCTTGTTAAAAAAAAAAAAACAAAACACCCTACAGAAAATGCTCCTACCACATTCAATGCATCAATCCAAAGTTATGTAAATATTAATACATCTCTTCTCCACCCCAATTACTCCAGAGATAATGTTAACACTTCAACGTTTTCTACACTTTTTTTCTAGTTTATAGACAAAGAGTACAAACACATGTCTAGAGTTGTTCTGGCTGTGTCTTTCTATAAAAAGTGAGATTATATCATGCACATTACTCTACAAATGTCCTTTCTCGCTTAATAATACATCACTGATATATTTCCATATTAAGAGCTGTAGATATAACTTATTTTTCAGTAGACCCTAAATATGAATGCACTTCAAAATTTTCCAACTATTGTATTCTTCTATTCTATTATTGATGGACATTCAAATTATTCTCTTTTCTTTGCTGTGGAAGACAATGCTATTTCACCTTATTTAACTCAGCAAAATAGGCTTTTTTTCACTAGACTAAACTATGGTGTATTTTACACTTAAAATGGGTGAATTGTATGGTCTGTGAATTATATTTCAATAACGCTATTATAACGTGTGTGTGTGTGTGTGTGTGTGCGTTTAATCAATGAATCCATCCTCAGAGCCTGATCCTATGCTTGGCACAGAGTATCAACTAAGAAAATATTTGTTCAATTAATTTCCCTTTGTGACACAGATTTAGAACATTAACCAAAGTAATGAGAGATTCATGAGAGGTTTATTCCAAGGCATTTACAAATCTGCAAGTTCTTAATACCATTTTTATCAGTCAGGTTCTGACAGAAAATCCACTCAAACAAGGTCATTGAGGTGAGTTTAATGAATGGACTAATTATGAGGGTAAGAGCTGATTACTGGAAACCATCATGTGGAAGAGTGCAGTAGGCTAGCAGGAGTCCTCATCTTACCCCTAAGCCTGAAGGCACAGGACTGGGAGTCACACTGGAATCTAGAGAGGGAGGTCCAGCTGGGCGAGAGGGCTGCCTGCCCCCAAAACTGAAGTGACTTCACTAGAGGAGCCTAGCCCCTACCCAAGCATGATCTGTGAGGAGTAATTCTGGGAGGATAAATGCCCCACCTCATTCTTCTCCTGTTTTTGCATCTCCCATTGTTACTCCCATTGGCCAAAACTAACTGGAGAGAAAGAAGACTCAGTGATTCTGTTGATGAAGGTCAATGTTTTTGGCCCCCGGGGCAGGATGGAAAAAGAGAGTGGAGAATAGGCAGCACAGTCCTCTAGCATATAATTCACCTCTTAAGAGATCAGGACTTGTGAATAAAAAATGGAAATAGTAATTTCAGGTATAAATTTAATACACACAGACTAGAGTACTTTGCAAGGCTGTTTTCCAGCACAGGCACCCCTTTCTTAACTCTTCAATTTTACCATCAACACTTGCAATGAGAAACAATAAAAAGATGATAACTCTTCAGTATAGGGTCATGTCTGCGCTCTACAGTGATTAGTTCAGAGCAGATCTGTTTCAGGAATTTCCTTGGCATCAGCATCATTTATGTCCAGAGGGGCTAGAAAACAAGTCATTCCAGAAAATGACTTCATCCGAGCTTGGTGGAACTAGTGATGAGTGACGTATGATTCACTTATTTTGTCAGCAAAACATGTATTAAGTAACTGCTCTGTGACAGGACTTGTACCAGACACGGCGGAAAACACAAAGAGGAATTAGACAGAGGTCTCAAGGAAGAGCCATCTCCTGGAAGAGACAGGTAAGCAGGTGACTGCGGTTGTGTGAATTGAGTGTTGGAGCCATAAATGGGCATTCGAGTGTAGGGCTTGTGTTTCCGGACTGGTTCCACCACCTACTACCTCTGTGGCCTTAAGCAAGTTACTTAACTTTACATGTATGATAATAACCATGGTGGATTACACCTTCCCAAAATGGCCACAGCCATAATGCCCATCCCACATGCAATGTGACCTTGTCTCCCCCTCCTCCCATCAAAGGTGGAATTAAGTTTACTACCCCCTTGAATTTGAGGACATCCTGGGATTGCTTTAAGCAACAGAATATGGTGAGAGTAACACTGCTAGTTCTAGATATAGCCCAGGTTCATCTGGTCTGGCAGGTTCCCCGTCTTGCTTTCTGCAACTCTTGGGACACTTCTTTTGGAAACCCAGGCACCATATTGTGAGAAGCCCAAGTCTCTGGGAGAGGCCATGCATAGGTATTTTGTATGTTACACACACACCCAAAAAAAATGTTCCTAACATTTTTTTTCTCCCACTTTAGCAGAGTTTCAAGAGCCATGCTCCTAAAAACAATGGGATCCCCTTACCCAGATATGCTTCAACCACTATAATTAAAAATGATAGTTGTTTCCCAAATCCCAGAAAAGGTAAAATTAATGGATAGAATTTTCTATGTTTTAGTTTTTTCTCTCATAAAATTTTCCTAGGTGATGACTTCACTTATCTATACTGAAATCTAAAAGTCAGATTCAGACTTTGCCCAAAAGGATATAGCACCTTATTTTATTTATTTTATTTATTTATTTATTTTTGCGGTACGCGGGCCTCTCACCGTTGTGGTCTCTCCCGTTGCGGAGCACAGGCTCCGGACGCGCAGGCCCATCGGCCATGGCTCACGGGCCCAGTTGCTCCACAGTATGTGGGATCTTCCCGGACCGGGGCACGAACTCGTGTCCGCTGCATCGGCAGGTGAACTCTCAACCACTGTGCCACCAGGGAAGCCCCAGCACCTTATTTTAATTGTGATATATGAATACTTCTTGAGGTTCTAAAAAGATCATCATGACTTTGGGATAAGCTACAACCTGCCGTGAGAGACCGAGTGCCACTAGTGTGGGGACTCATTTGCTTTTCTTTTTGTAAACTCTGGGCTATTTTGCAGGACACGACATAGAAGACAGTTTCAATATGCTGGCAGGTTAATTTGCTTGAAGAAAGACTCCTGTGGAGGAACTTGGGAAAGAATCATTTGAAAACTGAAGAAGCAGACATACTATCTACAGATTTTAGATTTTTGATTACCGACGCATCTTTAATGATATGTTGGGAACATATTCTCAATATATTGACTATATTTTTGACACAAATGGCTTTGCACTCGGTAAAAGATAACGAAACATAAATTTGGGTTGCAGTCATCAACTGCAGAACATAGAAGAAATGTGAGCCTCATTTAACTTATTTATAGAATAGGGATATAATAGGTTTAGAAAGATTCCACAAGGCCACATATGCAAAGTACCTAGGGGAGTGCCTGGCAGAAGGTGGTCAGAACACATTAGCTTCTGTTCTCCTGTGTACCTGTCCCCAGCTGCTGTGAGCATTCACTGTTAGCAGCTCACAGCTGCCTGTCCCCGTCTCAGGCAAGGAAAGACACCTAGCCCAGGAAGGTACACACCATGGAGCCAATGACTGATTGACACAGGAGTACAAAAAACTGACTTTGATGTGGGATCTCTCTGATGTTCCAGAGGGACCCTGTGGGTAAAGCCAAGACTAGACTTTACCTTAATATTCTTTCTTGGTGCCTTCCTTCTTCCTTTGTTTCCTTATAGGTTCTTCCGGAAAAGTGTTCCTTCAATAAATCACCTTTGGGCTTCCCTGGTGGCGCAGTGGTTGAGAGTCCGCCTGCCGATGCAGGGGACTCGGGTTCGTGCCCCGGTCTGGGAAGATCCCACATGCCGCGGAGCGGCTGGGCCCGTGAGCCATGGCCGATGGACCTGCGCGTCCGGAGCCTGTGGTCCGCAACGGGAGAGACCACAACGGTGAGAGGCCCACGTACCGCAAAATAAATAAATAAATCACCTTTATTGACCACACCAATTCCTGTTTCTAGAGAACCAGACGTGAGATACTTAACAAAGGGCCCAAGCTCAAATAATACTCCTCAAAATCTTTCAACAATAATTCCTACAGAAACTGACTAAATGCCTTTTTCTATCTCAAGTCAGTTCAGAATGCCTCCATTCTGACATGGCCCCAGGGAACTTGCTTGATTACCAGAGATCCTTCACCCAGAGAAAGCCAGTCTCATATTTGACCTGAGCTCAGCAGGGTTGATACCCCTGTGTCTCTCTGTGGACGCCATCTTACCTCTGTCCTTCTACAGTTTGTTAGGAAAGTGGAGGTTATCTAGAGCCCGGAAAGAATGTGTGAGATTTCTTGATGTGGAATAGCCTGGTTTTGAAATTGATAGGCTTCTAGAAGCAAATCTTTTCAGACTAAAGCTGGTTGATATATCTACATAGATTTTTCTTTTTTCTTTGGCTTCTCATAGAGCAAGTTCTAGAGGCTGGTAAAGTGAAGGGGAATAAAGACCTCTGTGAAAAAACATTGGGTTTAAAAATGGTTCCATGTGGTTCAAAATATGTTTTAGACATTCGGTAGCAAAAAGTGTGGACTTAATCATAATAGTGTGATTTGGAAAATGTTTCTGTCAGCAGAAAACTCCAGGGAGGAGCTGGAGTTTGTGAGGCATAACCTTAAATGGTTACATGCAAGGATTGTTCTCTCTGGGGAGCCTCAGAGGAGAGAACAGGTTGACTAAAAGCGGACTTAAATGGCACAGGGTGTGAGGAATGTGTAAAAGATTTGGAGCAGTTGCTGTGGACATTTCGTAAGGAACTGTTTACTGATAGATACAGGGATTATCAACAAGCAGGCATCATCTAGTAGAAATCTGGTGGTAAGAATTTTAGTAAAGCCAAATTCATTCATTCTGTCATGTATGCATTCAACAATATTAAGTGTCTTCTATGTACTGGGTACACAAAGATGAGTAATAACCCTTAGGGAGGTTTCCACACTCAAAGGCCAGCTATAAGAATGGATCCAGGCTTATTTCACTTAGCATAACGTTCTCAGCCTTCATGCATGTTGTTACATATGGCAGGACTTCCTTCCTGTTTTATGGCTAATATCCCATTTATGCATACACACATTTTCTTACCCATTCATCCATCAGTGGACATTTAGGTTGTTTCCACTTATGTGAGGTGTCTAAAATAGTCAGACTCATAGAAGCAGAAAGCAGAATGATGGTTGCCAGGGGCTGGGGTTGGGAAAAATGGAGAGATGTGGTTTAATGGGTGTGAAGTTTTAGTTATGCAAGAAAAATAAGTTCTAGAGATCTGCATACCACATTGTGTTCGTAGATAACAATACTGTACTTACACTTAAAAATTTGTTAAGAGGTTTGATCTCATGTTATGTATTCTTACCACAATCGAAAAAAAAAATAATGGAACCCAGGAGCATCTTGATCTTGGATTTCACAAGAAAGCTAAATGAAAACTTGAGGGAAGAAGGATTCTAAGGTCCTCGGAAGAGCTTGGGTTAGAAAACTTGTGAAGCTAGGAGAAAGTTAAAGTATGGAGAAAATGAAAAGAAACTGAGGGTTGTAAGTCACACTGAGCACAGAGCAGGGAGAGGTGCCAATAGAGGGAGTTAGGGACAGAGGATGATTTCACAATTTGCTGCCCTGAACATGGATGATTAAAGTTTAGGAAGCTCTCGTTTGGGGAATACGTATTTTCTCAAACTTTTTCTTCCTCTACCCCATACATACAGAATTTTGTATGCGCTGATCAACTTCACCCTCCCCTGCTCAGTAGGCATTACACTCTATCCTGGTCAATCTAATTTTTTTTTTCTAAAAGCATAATTAGGAAAATAAAAAAGGGAGAGAGGACTTGAGGCATGGGAGGAAATTGGAAAGAGTCGCTCTTCATGCTCTCTACTGTTATCAAGAATCTGAGGACTAGATAAGGCAGAGAGTGAAACTCAAAAGAAAAGATCATTTCTCTAATGATTAGTGATGTTGAGCATCCTTTCATGTGTTTGTTGGCAGTCTGTAAATCTTCTTTAGAGAAATGTCTATGTAAGTCTTCTGCCCATTTTTGGATTGGGTTGTTTGTTTTTTTGATATTGAGCAGATGAGCTGCTTGTATATTTTAGAGATTAATCCTTTGTCAGTTGCTTCATTTGCAAATATTTTCTCCCATTCTGAAGGTTGTCTTTTCGTCTTGTTTGTGATTTCCTTTGTTGTGCAAAAGCTTTTAAGTTTCATTAGGTCCCATTTGTTTATTTTTGTTTTTATTTCCATTTCTGTAGGAGGTGGGTCAAAAAGGATCTTGCTGTGATTTATGTCATAGAGTTTCCTTAAAAAACTAAAAATAGAACTACCATACAACCCAGCAATCCCACTACTGGGCATATACCCTGAGAAAAACATAATTCAAAAAGAGTCATGGGGGCTTCCCTGGTGGCGCAGTGGTTGGGGGTCCGCCTGCCGATGCAGGGGACACGGGTTCGTTACCCGGTCTGGGAGGATCCCACGTGCCGCGGAGCGGCTGGGCCCGTGAGCCAGGGCCGCTGGGCCTGCGCGTCCGGAGCCTGTGCTCCGCAACGGAGGAGGCCGCAGCAGTGAGAGGCCCGCGTACCGCAAAAAAAAAAAAAAAAAAAAAAGAGTCATGTACCACAATGTTCATTGCAGCTCTATTTACAATAGCCAGGACATGGAAGCAACCTAAATGTCCATCGACATATGAATGGATAAAGAAGATGTGGCACATATATACAATGTAATATTACTCAGCCATAAAAAGAAACGAAATTGAGTTATTTGTAGTGAGGTGGATGGACCTAGAGTCTGTCATACAGAGTGAAGTAAGTCAGAAAGAGAAAAACAAATACTGTATACTAACACATATATATGGAATCTAAAAAAAAAAAAAAGGTTCTGAAGAACCTAGGGGCAGGACAGGAATAAAGACGCAGATGTAGAGAATGGACTTGAGGACATGGGGAGTGAGAAGGGTAAGCTGGGATGAAGTGAGAGTGGCATGGACATATATACTCTACCAAATGTAAAATAGATAGCTAGTGGGAAGCAGCCGCATAGCACAGGGAGATCAGCTCCAGCTCGGTGCTTTGTGTCCACCTAGAGGGGTGAGATAGGGAGGGTGGGAGGGAGATGCAAGATGGAGGAAATATGGGGATATATGTATATGCATGGCTGATTCACTTTGTTATACAGCAGAAACTAACACACCACTGTAAAGCAATTATACTCCAATAAAGATGTTTAAAAAAAAAAGGAAAATATCAGTGAAGCTAGGACAATCTACATATCAAAGAGCTGAGAGAGACACACATGAAAGAAAAAAAAATCTGGCAAAATGACAGAACGAGAGAGAGAGAAGGACGGGGACATCTCTTTTGGAACAGCTATAAGGTGGGAGAATGGAAAAGAAGAAAAAAGGGATTTAAAAAAGTTTTGCCCTGCATTATTGACTAAATGTTTCCTAAGGGATAAAAGTAATACACTGAATTATTTTAGTAATGATTGTTATAACTGAACTCTTTCTTTGATTGCCACATTTAGTTGAGACTGGGTCACATTAATCTTGAGATTTATTCAGGATACAGAAGGTCTATCATTGAATATAACTTTAAATTGGCCCATGAGGATCAAATATTACTTATAATCACCCCCCAATCTGCATATGCAAACTGAAGATCACAGCTATTAGCTGACTTGCCCATGTCACAATATTAGCAAGTGTAATACTCAAATTTGCCAGACTCTGTGGCTCTGAGTTTTCTGCTGCTCCAAAATGGAGCAGCTCCAAATGAGAACTTAGTTTAAGGAGTAATAGTCTTGTATGTGCGTAACTACAGTGCAATGGCACATAGCTCAATAAAATTAGAAAAAAAGGACAAATGTAAAACCTGTTGATCTGTAGATGGTGATATCTGGGCAGATAATGAGGTAATGAAGAAATCAGGAGCCAGAATTACACAGCATTTATTCATCTCTCATCACATTATCATCACTTACTCCAATAAAGATTTATTCCCTAATGAAAATGAGATAAAATCCTGGGGTTGATGTCCAGAAGAAAGAGAATGGTTCAGAAAGGTGGTATAAATTTACCAATAGCGGGGTTGTTAGGCAATGGTGGGAGAATAGCAGAATTGCTTTCTACTCCGTGAAATAAGATGGGTGGGGGGGAGGTAAGAGGGAGAAACTACCATTTATTGTTTTTAAGAGTGCAGAACTTGAGATAATTTCTCTGAAACTTCTAAACTTTCTGTAATGATGCTATATTATTTTCTGACTTTTAGAACTATCTTAAAATGAAAGCTATCATATGGGTTCCAGAAAGTAAGTTTTAATTCTGTTATTTACTAAGTGTATGACCCTTGGCAAGTTACCTAACAGTTGGCAGTCTGGGTTTCTTGATCTGTAAAATAAGACTTATGATAATATCATTCTATTAAGGTCATTATGAGGTATTATTTTTTTAATCTTATTTAGATAATATATGTGTAAAGAATTCTATAAACTGAAAATCATACCACGAATGCTAGTTTTACTAATAATGGAAGAAATTCAGTGTTCATATAGCATTGTAATTATTTTTGTATTTCATAATTCTCATAGCTATTCTGTCTAATGCCCAGTATCCTACCAAACTGATGTATTGTAAGTCATTTAGGATGTGGATTTAAGTGATTTGACTTAGATCACCCAGGAAGTGTTGGCACCACGATATGAACACGGTTCTCTTTGACCTCAAAGCTTATGTGATTAATACAATACTCCCTAGAAATGGAAATAACTGCTGTATTTATTCAAAACCTCATAAGGAAAATAAGGAATGAAAGATAACTCTGCAAGGATAGGGCATAAATCTAGAACTCTCAATGTTCTCAGCCAGGGAAAGAAGGAGGACTGTGTAAGTGTGTGTATGTGTGTGTG